TTGCCAATCCTAAGACATATTGTATATGAAAGCCAAACCCTACAATGCAATGGAAATGTGAGGGGTACAGAGAGAGGGAAATGAGAGCGGGCATGGTAGTAAAGAGTTGGAATGAGTAGATGATGACTGCGATTGGAATTCTTGTTTGTACTCCTGCCCGGAGACATGAAACAGCTTGTACAAATGCCCTCTAAGCAGTGACTTTTTACTCCTGTGAAGGGCATTGTTGAAGGGACATACTTCCTACGTGAATCTCGTTGAAAGCTTGGGGTGGGAAGACAGATTCTTTCTTGTGATCAACAGAAAGTGCCCGGAGAGGTGATTTTAGTATCCTTTTCTCAAGTGTGGGAAACCACAGCTGCCTCTTTGGAGGAAAGCAGAAGTGTGTTTGAGTTTGGGGAAGAAGTGGTAAATAACTGAACTTTTTTGGTGGGTTTTATAGAAGGAATAAAAATATTTTTTAAAGAAGATATTTTTTTCCTGCAGTCCTTGTTATGCCTTGAATGCCTTCTTTGGGTCTAAGCCTGTGAGAAAGACACAAAAGTAATGTGTAACCAGATTCTCTTTCGTGGGCGGTTTCCTTCTCATTGGTGGCAGACAATTACACAGGATTATCTGTGATTAAAAAACCCAAGTTATGCTGGAAGGGAAAATTGTTGTGGGATGTCCGAAAAGACAGACTTCCATGCAGGTAATAGGGGTAGCCATTTGTTGAGTTGAATTGTGGATGTGAGATTGGGATTGTTAAAAGACAAAAACAGGCTGTTGTTCTAGGCAGGGATAAACCATGGCCTGAGCTCAGAATTTGGGGGAAAACGGGTTGGGATTTGGCAGATGGTGGATATGAAGATGGATAACTTAAGGCAGGGACAACTTTTGGAGGACTTTGAGTCAGGATTGGGGATCTAGGTTTTAAGAAAACTTTGGTCTTCAGTGAGTGCCTGTGTGTGTTTCCAACAGTCCTTGGTAGGTGTTTATACTTGAGGTACCAGTGCAAGCTGCTACCTTTGAAAGCTTTCTTACTTTCCTAATGACCAAGAACCAGGAAGAGATGAAGCTTGGTCATTACATAACATGTTGTGACTTGACTCAGTGACCTCACTACTTCTTGTTTCCATTTGAGCTGGGGGCTGGTGGAAGGAACCATGCCAGTAGACCGTGAATGGAGACTATGGAGCCTATGTGAGGTCTACATAGTGGGCAAAATATTTGAGTACATTAGCAGTCTGATAAAGGAGTCGAACTTCAGTGGAATAGCAGAGATGACCCAGTGACCCATGAACAGGTCCAGAAATGGAAATAATTCCTGCTTCTGGATCATGTGCCATTTGCCAGGGATTCCCAACCTCTGGGTCTCAGTTAGGAACCAGGCTGCACAACGAGAGGTGAGCAGCTGGCCAGGGAGCAACCCTCATCTGCATTTACAGCCACCCCCCATCGCTCGCATTACTTCCTGGGCTCCGCCTCTTGCCAGATCAGCACTGAAAATCCTGCTTCCATCTCCAATATCTTATCATTGTGAAGTAGGGTTTTCTGCAGTGACAGCCACCAAATTGAGATGATGGAGTAGACTGGACACGGGCAAAACACTTCGGGTGTCACTGTCTCCCATCACCCCCAGATGGGACCGTCTAGTTGCAGGAAAACAAGCTCAGAGCTCCCACTGATTCTGCATGATGGTGAGTTATATGATTATTTCATTAGGTATTACAATGTGATACTAATGAAATAAAGTGCACAATCAATGTAATGTGCCTGAATCATCGTGAAAGCATCTCCTCCTGCCCCCCATCCCATCCATGGAAAGATTGTCTTCAGCCTTGGTAGGCTGAGGTGAGTGGATTGCCTGAGCCTGCGGGTTCGAGACCCACCTGGGCAACTTGGCGAGACCTCACCTCTACAGTAAACAAAAAATCAGCCGGGTGTGGTAGCGCGCGCCTGTAGTTCCAGCTACTTGGAAGTACTGAGTAGCTGAGGCGGAAGGATCGCCGGAGCCCAGTAGCTCGAGGCTGCGGTGGCCGGGAGCGGCCACTGCACTCCAGTCTGGGCGACAGAGTGAGACTCCAACTCAAAAAAAAGAAAAAGAAAAATTGTCTTCTACAAAACCAGTCCCTGATGCCAAAAAGGTTGGGGACAGCTGTACTTCAGGATCAGGGAAGAGAGGGATACCCACCCCAGGCAACGACTGGGACACCTTTCTTCCTTTCTTCCCTAATTATTAAGGAAGGATTATTTTCATGACCCCTGTGGGATATACTGATGGATTGAGTGACTGCCCTCATGTGCTCATCGGACCTGCAGAGATGAGGAACATCGTGGGTTTCTTGGATCGTCAAGTAAATGGCTCGAGCTGAATCTCTAAGGTGTTTCTTTTTGGGAAGATGGATGTAGATTACTCATCAGTAGATTAAGGGCAAGAAATAAATCTACTTTAAAAAACAAAGGCTGGATACACTAGCTCATATCTGTGATCCCAGCACTTGGGGAAGCTGTGGCAGGAGGATTGCTTGAGCCCAGGAATTTGAGACCATCCTAGGCAACATAGGCCTCGTCTCCACAAAGAAATGTTTTTAAAACTAGCTGACCCTGGTGGCCCATGCTTGTAGTCCCAGCTACTCAGGAGGCTGAGATGGGAGGATCTCTTGAGTCCAGGAGTTTGAAGCTGTGGTAAGCTGTGACTGTGCCACTGTACTCCAGCCTGGGCAACAGAGTAAGACTCTCCCCTCAAAAAACACTCCAAAAACTAGCTTCCTTGAAGTATAATTTACATATCATAAAATCCACTCATTTTAAGAATATAATTTAATGATTTTTAGTAAATTTATAGAATTGTGTAAATATTTCCACAATCTAGTTTTAGGGTGTTTTCATCTCCCCGTAAAACTCCCTAGTGCCTGTCGTTCTCGGTCAACATTCCCACCCCCAGCTCCAGGCAACTGATAATCTGGTGTACCGTCTCTGATAGATTTGCTAATTCTGGACATTTCAAATAAACAGCATCACAAGGCATGTGTTTTTTTGCTGGCTTTCTTTCATTCAGCAACATGTTTTTGAGTTTCATCCACATTGTAGCATATGTCTCTTTCCACATTCCTTTTCACGGCTGAGAGGTATTCCATGACGTGGATATACCACATTCTGAGTATCCTTTCCATCAGTTGATTGTCTCCCTTTTTTGGCAGTTGTGAATAATGCTGCTGTATTGGTTTCCTGTGGCAGCTGTAACAAACATCACAAACTTGGTGTCCTAAGACAACAAGGATTTCTTCTCTCACAGTTCTGGACACCAGAATTAGGAAATCACGGTGGAACAGGGCTGTGTATCCCCAAGAAACTCTCAGGGAGGGCTCTATTCCTTGTTTCTTCCACCTTCCACTGGCTGCGGGCAATTTTTGACTTGAGGTCACATCACTCCAATCTCTGCCTCCACCTCTGCATGGCCTTCCCTCCTGTGTTTCTCTCAAAGCTCTCTGTTCCTCTTTTATAAGGATATGTGTGATTGCATTTAGGGCCCACCCTGGTCATTCCAGAAAGGCCGCTCCTCTCAAAATCCTTAACTTCACCAACTCTTGCCACGTAAAGTAATATACACAGGTTCCAGGGGTTTGATGTGGGGGACATTTTTCAGCCCTGAACATTCACATAAGGTTTTTGTGTAGATATAAGGTTTCATTTCTCTTTGAAGATACTTAGGAGTAGAATTGCTGGGTCCTATGATAAATTGTTATTTGACTTTTAAAGAAATTGCCAAACTGTTCTCGGAAGGGGCTGTATATTTTACACTCCTACCAGCAATGTATGAGGGTTTTAGTTTCTCTGTATTTCTGCCAGTTGTCTGCCTTTTCTTTTTTATCGTAGCCATTCCAGTGGGTGTGAAGTGGTGTCTCATTGTGGTTTTAGTTTGCATTTGTCGGGTGACTAATAGTGTTGAACATCCTTTGATGTGCTTATTCACCGCTCACACATACTTTTTGGTAGAATATCCAACACTCTTGCCCATCTGAAAATTGGGTTGTCTTCTTTTTGAGTTGTGAGGTAGTCTTTTTTTTTTTTTTTTTTTTTGCTGTCTGGCCGAGCCATTGCCAATACTTAGAACTGTGGTGACTGAGGTCGCCTTGTTTAGGAAATTTCTGGAGTAACCTTATTCCCCAGGGAGGGTGCCTTGGGCTGGGGCCATCCCTGCATTGTACCATAGGCCAACCTGTCACTGGAACATAGATAAGACTCACAAAGTAGCCTTTGGCCACCAGATGCTGTGTCAGGGAAGCCAAAAGATGTCTCCCCTATGCTCTAGAGATCATAAGGCTTAGTGACCTTGCTGTTGTCTCATGAGCAAAGACACTGACCAACAGAACCCCACAATATAGTCTCATATTATAGCCTGGCTTTTTTCTTTCTTTATTGCTTATCACAATTTTAATTAAATAGTTATTTCTGAGATTTTTTTAAAAAAATTTTTTGGTCAGGATCTCACTGCGTTGCCCAGGCTGGAGTGCAGTGGCATGATCACAGTGATCATGGTTCACAGCAGCCTTGACCTCCTGGGCTCAGGTGATCTTTCTTCCTCAGCCTCCCCAGTAGCTGGAACTGAGTTTTCTCTATGTCACCTGGGCTGGCCTCGAACTCCTGGGCTCAAACAATATGCCCACCTTGGCCTCCCAAAGTGCTGGGATTATAGGCATGAGCCACCACATCTGGCCTGAGGTTATATATTTGATATCTTTCTTCCTTCCACTAGACTGTTACATTCCCTGAGGACAGGGGCCATGTGATTTGTCACTCTGTCACTGGTCTCCACCATAGTATGTGAAACATGGCAGGCAGCTGATCGGTATTTGTTGAATGTAGGAAACGGAGGTCTGCTGCTTTATAATGGGTGATTGACATGAAATTATGAAACAGAGGGTTGTTTGTTGACTAAATAGTTCACTAACCTCTCGCGTGCTATTTAGTGACGGGCATTCTAATTTTCCTTTGTTAATTTCTCGTTTCCAGCGATCTATAACTACAATGCTTCCCAAGATGTGGAGCTCTCCTTGCAGATTGGCGACACAGTTCACATCCTGGAGATGTCTGAGGGTAAGTCTGACTGGCCTTCTGCCAGCCTGGGGCAGGGGCGGGGGGCGGGGAGGAACAGTGGAAGTTACTTATTAGTAAGGCACTTCAAGTCAGAATCAGCATGCTTTACTTCTTCAAGTGCTGCTAGGAAAAACCCAGGAAGTACTTGGGTACACACTTTTGAACTGAAGGTGATTTCAAAACAGCCAGCTGAATTCCTGAGTACAGACACACACAGACACTGGAGTCAAGGCACATGGGTGTGTGAAGGACACTGTCACTGGCTGCAGAGCTGTCTCGAGGAGACTCTTGGGACATAGGGCTGGCGGTACCTGAAAAGGAATAATTTCTTTTTGTTGTTGTTGTTTGTTGTTGTTGTTGTTTTTTGAGTTGGAGTCTCTCTCGGTCGCCCAGACTGGAGTGCAGTGACTGCTCCCGGCCACCGCAGCCTCGACCTGCTGGGCTCCAGCGATCCTTCCACCTCAGCCTTCCGAGTAGCCGGAATTACAGGCGCGCGCTGCACGCCCAGCTGATTTTTTGATTTATTGTAGAGATGAGGTCTCGCTGCCCAGACGGGTCTCGAACCCGCGGGCTCAGGCAATCCACTCACCTCAGCCTCCCAAAAGCGTGGGATTACAGGCTGAACCACCGAGCCCGGCTTATTTTTTTATTTTTGAGTTGGAGTCTCACTCTGTCGCCCAGGCTGGAGTACAGTGGCACGCTCATGGCCACTGCAATCTTGACCTGCTAGGCTCAGATGATCCTACTGCCTCAGCCTTCCAAATAGCTGGGACTACCGGTGCACACTACCACGCCTGGCTATTTTTGATTTATTGTAGAGACAAGGTCTTGCCAAGTTGCCCAGGCTGTTCTTGATCCCCTGGGCTCAGGCAGTCCTCTAACCTCGACTCCCAATGTGCTGGGATTACAGGCTTGAGCCACTGCACCCAGCCTAAACCTTTTTTGCTTTATTTTTGTTTTTATTTTTATTTTTAGTTGGAGTCTCACTCTGTCGTCCAGACTGGAGTGCAGTGGCCGCTCCCAGCCACCGCAACCTCGAACTGCTGGGCTCTGGCAATCCTTCCGCCTCAGCCTTCCAAGTAGCCAGAATTACAGGTGCGGGCTACCACGCCCGGCTAATTTTTTGATTTATTGTAGCAATGAGGTCTCGCCAAGTTGCCCAGGCGGGTCTTGAACCTGCGGGTTCAGGCATTCCACTCACCTCAGCCTCCCAAAGGCGCGGGATTACAGGCTGAGCCACCGAGCCCGGCTAGGAATAAATTCTGATTAAGGGTCTCTGTTTTCTCAGCACTCAATGTTGCCAAGTCTGGGGAGAAATGAGGGAGAGGCTCTCTGGTACTGCTGAGATTCTTTCAGAGAATTAGGTCAGACTGCAAGCTGGTCCAGAAAACCTACTCGTGTATTTCCTCCAACTAGGTTGGGCTAGGGAGGCAAGCAGTTCGGTGAATCTGTTAAATGTGACTGTGGGGCCATGCTTTGGGCTACTGTTGGTCTGCAAAACACAAGTCAGGTCTACGTTCACTCCACTCCAGACTTCTAGCTTCAACTCAGGCTTTCTCAGTCCTCTGTATATCCATATTTCTAACCCAAATCCCAAAGTCAAGCACAAGTATATCCAGGCTGCTGAAGTTGAGGATCAAAGCCAGGAACAACAACTTTTAGGTTCCAGTTGTTCTGTCTGAAGGTTGAGGTAGAAATGTAGTGGAAGTTAGGCCTATTTGGCAGAGATTCCGCATTTGTAGGGTTCAACCCCCATGTAAGTGCGTGTGATGATAGAATGGCAAAGGTGGTTCTCCAGAATCCCAGGTTCCTAGGCAGGAGGAAAGGAAGTAGGGTTTGGCGACAGAAAGCCTAAGTCATCTACCTGTTTGCCCAGGAGACTCTGCTGTTACTGCTGCCTCCCTTGAGTTTTTGGCAGAGGGCTGGAGTTTCACATTATTCTTTTCCCTTCCACACAACTCAGTGTAATCGTAGTGCTCTCAGGGGCAGGGAGAAGATAGAGATGGCTGTGTGGAGTTTTCCCTTTCCATTTTGTCTCTACTGCTTTCATTCTCACCATCTCAAGCCCAGCCAAGCATCAATTCCAAGTCACCTAGACAGTTGACTTATCTTTTCAGAACTCCTTTGCTTATGAAAACCGCAGTCACCTCCAACCTCACCAGGTCATGCCTCTTTGTCAGGAGGGTAGATTGATCCACTTTGTCTAGCCTCTAGGCACACACATTCCTCTTGTGCAAATAAAAAGTGTGTGTTCAATTTTTCTGACTCTTCTACGTGGGCTTGGAAAGAATACCTGTTTAAGTATCTTTGGGTGCAAAGTTTTATATATGACAGATTCTAGTTTCTTAATCATTTTTCAAATTTGCCATACACTAACTTTTTTTTCTGCCTTTTCTATCACAGAGAGAACTGTGTTAAATCTTCTACAATGATTGTAGTTTGTCTGTGTCTATGGTGATGTCAGTTGTTTGCTTTATATATTCCGAGACCTATTTTCAGGTGCCTACCATTTTAGAATGGATGGAATATACAGTTCCGACTTCTAATTCCTGTTTGTTCAACCTTTTATCATTGTCTTCATCTGCAATGCATTATACCTTACTCGATTTTGTCTGAAATTATAGCCATCCCATTGGCAGTCTAGAGGTTTTGATTTTTGTCGTCCTGGCCTCACAGGGATGTCAGAAATGCTGCATCTCAGCCATTCAGGAATATTTTCTTAAATCAGCAGATGTCCCAAGAAGAAAGCAGCCCTCAATGCAGGGCTAGTCTTTTTAGGTCTTGATCTCTTTCACATCTTGACATGGGCAGTTCTTTACTGTCATGTTAGTTCTTACGTGTGTGTATGGGCGTGGGGTGGGGGTGTGTGTGTCATTTTGTCACGCTTTGCCAATTGTCCTACAGACTGTGGGAGGGAAGAATGGAGAGTTGGTCTGAAATAAAGTAGGGGATGTCTTTAAAATACATTCTTAAAATTATTTTTTCATTTTTATGTGACCCCAGTGTAATTTTTTGAAATAGTCAATGGCAGTGCTTTGTCCTGTCAGGATTCATTTTAGTCATAATTTTCACTGGACTCGGTGGCTCAGCCTGTAATCCCAGCACTTTGGGAGGCATGGGCGAGTGAATTTCCTGAGCCTGCAGGTTTGAGATCAGCCCGGGCAACTTGACAAGACCTCATCTCTATAATAAATCAAAAAATTAGGTGGGCGTGGTAGCGCACGTCTATAGTTCCAGCTACTTGGAAGGCTGAGGTGGAAGGATCGCCAGAGCTCACAAGGTTGACACTGGGGTGGCCATGAGCGTGCCACTGCACTCAAGCCTGGGCAACGGAGTGAGACTCCAGCTCAAAAAAATAAAAATAAATAATTTTCAGCATACTCTAATTTATACTTTACCGAGGGGTCTCCCAGTTGGCCAGTGAGCATTCCCAAAGGCAGCACTCCTGTGGACCAAGCTAAGGTGATCACTGAGCTTAAATGAATATAAATGTAAACCTAAACACATAAACATATCCATTTCAAATACCACGAACTTGATAGTCTAAAAAGTCTCCAACCCACAGTTCTTCTAGTATATTGCAGTTCACATAGCGGTATGCCTGTAGGAAGTGCTGGTCCGGCTGACAGTCATACAAAAACTAACTTCCTCAGTGCTGCATCTTCAATATGATGGCCCAAGCACTGTAGGTCCTGCTGGCAAGAAGCCGATCTTCTCCTAATTGCTACCATAAAATATTAGCTATGTGGGCTCTAGAACTCTTTTATCTCAAAGAGGGACTCCAGCATCTGTTCTTTTAACATTGGCACGTGTCAACATATGAGCAGGGAGGGAAATTGAGAACATGAGCCTACACTGTGAACTTACTAAGTTCATTAACCTCCAAGGAGCATATCAGCTTGACCGAGAGATTAGATTGTTATATTGGATTATGTTTTTCCAACAGTGTTTATTTTATGGGATTATTTTTTAAGATAGGGCCCCTTTGCCAGATGCCCAGTGATAGGTTCTTGTGAATGCCAAGTTATTAGAGTTTTTGGCCTGATCCTCATATTCCTTTATTATTTCAGGCAGCTCAGGACTAGACGGGGACAGGAGTGCTTTGCAAACACAAACACCATGCAAATGCTGAGTAATAGCAAATGCTGAGTAATAACTTGTGTTCTGTCCTTCCTTCCCCCACAGTCCGGCTGGATGGAATTTAAGGGTGATCCTGGCACCATATCCTGGCCCGGGGGGGCTTTGTGTATTTCAGCTTCCTATTGGAGCTGATGGGACTCTCTCTCTCTCTCTCTCTCTCTCTCTCTCTCTCTCTCTCTCTCTCTCTCTCTGTACTCTGCCCCACCCTGCCCTTGGGACATGCACATACCAGATCTGTGTGTGCTTTTGGGGCGTGAATATGAGTCTACCCAGACAGGAAAAAATGTTTGCTGCCCACAGCAGAATACCATTTAGGACTCTCTTTTTTCTGTTGCTGGCTTTGTGGCTCAGTGAATAATCTCCAAGAGCGATAGCTCCTTGAAGGCAAAGCCTGCCTCTCCTTTGTCCACAGGGCCAATGCCTGTCTAGCTCCTGGCATACAGCAGGTGTTCAACAAAAGTGTATTGAATGAGTGGAGATGAGTAGGAGACCAGGGCAAGCTGGTGTAGACAGTAAGGGGATCACAGGTCACCGCCATAAAACCCTGGATGTGACAGGCTGCTGATGAAGGAAATAGGAGTTACCAGCATTTCCCTACCCTCTGCAGATGATAGAATTTAGTCATTGCTTAAGTTTTTGGTTGTCTTTTTTTTTTCTTTTGAGTTAGAGTCTCACTCTGTTGCTTAGGCTGGAGTGTAGTGTCATGATCACGGCTCACCTTAGCTCCACCTGCTAGCTGGGACTACATGTGTAAACCACCACGTCCAGTTAATTTTTTAAATTTTTTGTAGAGATGAGGTCTTGCTATGTTGCCCAGGCTGGTCTCAAACTTCTGGTCTCAAGAAATCTTCCTGCCTTGG